CTTCTAGGTCCCATATGGGAGTGGTTCTTCGCTCACCTTCCACATGTCCACTCTTCACTGTTTTCATTTACCTCTTTTTCTTTCTTTCTTTCTTTTCTTTTCTTTTCTTTCTTTCTTTTTTTTTTTTTTTTGAGATTGAGTCTCACTCTGTTGCCCAGGCTGGAGTGTAATGGCATGATCTAGATTCACTGCAACCTCTGCCTACCGGGTCCAAGCGATTCTCCTGCCTCAGCCTCCTGGATAGCTGGGATTATAGGCACCCACCACCACGCCTGGCTAATTTTTGTATTTTTCTAGAGACAGGGTTTCACCATATTAGCCAGGCTGGTCTTGAACTTCTGACCTCAGGTGATCTGCCGACCTCAGCCTCCCAAAGTGCTGGAATTACAGGCATGAGCCACTGCGCCTGTCCTCATCTAACCTCTTAATTGATAGGCACATTAATATTCAGTGAAGATGTTGAAGGCCCACTACCTAATCGTCATTGTGCTACATAAACTGAGTTGGGCTTATAAACGTTAGGTGGGAGCATCTTTCAGTTAATCAGATTTGTACAATTGGAATGGTGAATATTGACACAGTTACCTTGAAGAAACTAGGCATACTGAATTGACATCAACTATGAAGAAATTTGCTATTAAAAATCTATATAAGTACTATATGAAAAGCTTTATAAACTAGAATATCCTATAGAAATAAGGTATTGTAGTTAGTTCTACTACTTCAATCTAGTGATTTTTAAATCAATTGGGCATCCTAAAGCAATGATTATTTTTTAACTGCTGGAGGAAGGGAAGGCATCACTACATCATTGCAAGTGAGATTTTATAGAATTACAAACTGATCTGCTCACTTAGACATTCTGTCTGCATAAATTGTCATGAGCTAATTCTCTTTAGTCATATTATGTCTGGAGCAGAGCATTGCACCTAACTGTGCAAATCAGAGGGATTGATCTTATATCCGTATTAATATTTCCCTCTTAATATTACCAGGGACCAATTCCTATTGAATAAACAAACTTGGAAAAGTTCTCCATGTGATTAATACATATATGCATAAAACTCCACATATAAATCTATACAGGAAAAATATCTTAGCTTACATATATTTAAAAGAAATCAAATTAGAGCTCTCAAGATACCAGCATGTTTTAGTCAAGACAATAATTTTTTTACAAAAGGACATGTTTTAATTTTTGGATTGTATCAATAAAAAATATTCAATACAAAATTTTAGTTTATTAAATTAAAAATTCTAAGTGGTCATTAAAACTGATAACCTTGGCTGCGCGTGGTGGCTCACATCTGTAATCCCAGCACTTTGGGAGGCCGAGGCAAGCAGATCACAAGGTCAGGAGTTTGAGACCAGTCTGGCCAACATAATGAAACCTCGTCTCTACTAAAAATACAAAAATTAGTTGGGCATGGTGGTGTGCACCTGTAATCCCAGCTACTCGGGAGGCTGAGGCAGGAGAATCACTTGAACCCAGGAGGCGGAGGTTCTGATGAGCTGAGATTGCACCACTGCACTCCAGCCTAGGCAACAGAACGATATTCCATCTCAAACAAACAACAACAAAAAACTGATAACTTAGTTGGAGTAGATTTGATGAAATAAAACAATGAACTAGCTTTCCTGGTTGAATCAGCAGCAAACATTTGTTAATAACTCTTTGGATTTTACAGGATCAGGCCAAGGAGCAGATGGGATACAGATTTCTAATATGGAATGTCACTGCAATGGTGCTGCTCCTTTTCCAGATGCTTTTCCTGGGGGCAGTTGGATTGTGAGAGCTGCACTTTGCAGGAGCCTGGTTACTGTTTCTGTGAATAAGATAAAATAGTGTTTATCCTCTGTCGATCAATACTGTCTTGTTTGAACTTATTGAGTCATTTTAGAGACACATAAGGCAATGAAAACCATTGTGCAATAGTACCCACAGTACTACTAAGCTTTCTAAGGGATGACAATATTTTAAAAGACAGTTACTGAAACAGATTTTTAACATTAACTGCCTCCATGATCAAATAAGCATGCCCCATTTCAGGGTGTCCCATGGGTTTGGGTGAAAAGGTATTGGGGTTTTATAACTAAGAGTTTTCTTCAGCGATAATCTCTAAAATAAAAATATACTCTGTGTGTGTGCTTTAATATTGAAAAAAATTACAGACTGACTTTCTCTGAATAAATGGAATAGTGCTACTATTTGTGATTCATCAAAATTTTTTTATGTACAGTTTATGATTTCAACTTTATTAGTATTGTTTTGACAAACAAGGCCTAATAGGTATACTTGGGCAATTTTAGAAAATTTTTCTGGAGGTTATTACAAGTAGGAAAGTGAAAAGGGAAGTGGGATTTTTGCTGAATTATTAAGCACCCAGGGCCACATTTCTCTCCTTTGCTTTATCATCTAATTTAACCTTCACAAAATACTGTGGGTCAGATCTTACCCCCATTTCACATTTGAGGAATCTGAGATTCAGAGGAGTCAAACAATATGCCCAAGGTCACAGACCTAGGGAGTTTTGCAATAGGCGTTTCCACTTAGCTGGGTCAAGGCAAAAAGCCTAGTATTCTTTCTGTAATTAATTTTAAAAGTTTCTCAGATAGGCATAGTCCTATTTGGTGGAGAAGACTAGACTCTAAAGTCCTTTAGATTTTTCAATTGTGATGATTTCAATTGATTCTCATTGTTATGAATGCTGGACACGGGCTATAAAAGCAATTTGTTCTTTCTTCTCCTGTATTCTGAGAAATACTAATTTTGAGAGATGTTGATAGATATTCCTGAAAGAAGATGTTCTGTTGTAAATTAAGCCCAGGAAGCAAAACATTGCCTACTTTCTTAGATAATTGTGATAAATGACAATATTTGCATGTGTCATGAGTCCCCAGTGCTTGAGGGTGTGATATAATGGTTACATGCTTGGGCTCTGGATGAGATCGCCAGACAAAGGAGCCTGGCTCTGCCACTTGCTAACTGAGTAGCTGAACCTGTTAGGTAACTTGTCTGTGCCTGCATTTTCCCATTTACAAACTGTTATAATAGTATCTACACCATAGAGTTGTTCTAAGAATAACATGAGATAATGCATGGAAAGAACTTAGAAGTAGACTCACTTGGACACAGGAAGGGGAACATCACACACTAGGTCCTATTGTGGGGAGGTGGGAGCGGGGAGGGATAGCATTAAGAGATATACCTAATGTAAACGACGAGTTAATGGGTGCAGCACACCAACATGGCACATGTATACATATGTAACAAACCTGCACGTTGTGCACATGTACCCTAGAACTTAAAGTATAATAATAAAACAACAACAAAAACAAACAAAAAGAAAAACCAAAACCAAAAACAAAAAACAAATAAAAACAAAACAAAACAAAAAAAAGAAGTAGACCTGATAATATAGTACTTCATAGATACTTGCTATCATCATTACTCAAAACACTCATGTGGTAACAAGACCTGCTATAACTTTTCTAATATCATTTCCTCAACTTACTTGACAATGGAGTCACTTTTCTTTTGAGCCACATTCATTAACATCCACTGAATATAGTGTCGGAAATGTTGATATTTGAAATGACATAAAACCAGCTTGGTATTAGTGCAGTAGAAAATAAGAACTAAGTATTTATAGTGTTTTAATATCCATTATGTCATTTTATAATGTTTGCCCACAACAATATTTCTTTTCCTTGCCAGCTGTCTTCTTTTTTCCCTTAAAATCGATAAATAGTAAAATGGAACAGTAAAATGTTAAGAGTTGTCTAAAATGGGCAGAGTCAATGTTATTCGAGAAAGTATGAACCTTATAAGTAATTTGTCTCTTTCTCTGTATTTAGCAGGGCAAAACCTTACTGCTTTGACAAATAGGTGATATCACTGTCATTTCCAGACCTATGCTCCCATTGCATGCTCCATAGCACACATTATAAAGAAAGTTCCAGAGCAGACCAACACATTTTTTGATGCTCCTAAATTATAACTAGAGCTAAATTTACCAAAATACGCTCTACAAAACACTAATCCTGCACAATGTGCAAATAATGCTATGTTCTTCGTCGTCTTGGAGAATTACAATACATATCTGAAAATTCCTATAGTAAATAAACTCGTTTAGTTTGGAATCCATTCTTCTTGGAACTTATATAGGTAATCATGACAAAAAGTCAGAGAGTTTATGGGGCTTCTGGTAGAAATGGGATATTTTTTGTAAATGTCCAGATTGATTTCTTTCTTTAAATACCATTATGTTCTGGTTGTGAATAATGTTTTTAGAGTACAGAAAAAAATGTGAAAATACATCCACCTCAGCACAGTTGCCCAAATTGTGGAAACAATGTAATAATTAGCCATTCCAAGATTGAAATATAACACGCTGAAAACCAATCATTTTCCATAATATTTTTTGGGCCGGAATCAGAAGTGAATATTTTAAACATTCCTTTGGTTAGCAAGATAATGGCAGGGGAAATTACAAGAGTTTACCAAGACTTTCTTTTTTATGGTGGTAGTAGCTCAGGAGATAATCGAATACATGAAGTCTAAAGTATGATAGGAATTACGACCCACACACACAACTGAAAATCTGCCGGTGATGTTAAAACTGTTTCTTTTGTTAATTACATTTCTGTTTCTCAGGGTCCCAGGATCCGGACAGGCACTCAACCACAACTCTCCCTGCTGTCTGATTAGAGCTAAATAAACTTCTCACAACATTGGCTCCACTCTTGAACCCTCCGTGGTAAGTCTACAGAAATTTATTAAATCCTGGCAGCTATGTCATTTTGAGATTGTATAATAATTCCAATCTAGTCTTTTGTTTTCTGGTTGTTTCATTCGTCTAAAAACAAGCTAAATAATTCCTTGAATTAGGCTCGATAATAGAAGAAGGTAAAAGCTGTTTTTACTGCATTCCCACTGATACCACAATGCACAGTTCCACAGAGTTGAAATAGAAAAAAGCAAAACACATGGATCATACCTGAGTAATTTCAGAGATCCCCACCCGGAAAAGGTTTCCTTGATTATGGCGAATTCAACGTGTTACTTGGGTTATGCTCTAATCGTCATATCAAACTCCAAAGGTTCAGTGGCTTTAGGTTTGGTTTACAATTCCTGGGAGTTAAACTTTAACTCACCCTGTCTCTTGCATCCATGCAGCCCTTTGACCAGATAATTGGGTCACTACAGCCCAGATATAATCTACTAAAACTATCTTTGCTATTTGTTTACAAAATTAAAATAAATGTTTTAAAAATATTGGGGTAAATATTATTTTGAAGATATTTTATTGACTTATACGATATATTTAAAAAGTAAAACTCACTGCAATTTGGTACCTAAGCTTTTCTTTATGTTAGTTCCTTTGTTTTTTACTATGCCAAAGTGATATTATGGCTAAGGTAATTTAGGAGAATATTTCTTTGTTTTACACTTTTTATATCACTGTATTACATGGAGTAAAGTATAGAGTTTTAGGTCAAGTACATTGATAAATGCTGGCTTATAAACAGAAAACACATGAAGCATTTATATAACAAAGTAGATAGATTTAGGCCAGATCAGGTTGGGGAAAGCATACTTCTTTGTATACAAGCTGCTCATTTAGATTTTAAGAGGGGGCCAGTCTGTGAGAAGCACAATAATCAGCTACAAACTGGGGTTATATGATAGCTGATGCTATTGTTCATTGCCTGAAATCTCAGTGCTAACTGAGTTTCTTGAAAAATAGAGAAATGGTATTTTCAGAAATACAAATTCTATACTCTAAGTTCTCTGGTAAGAGCTATAGTCTATACAAGAAATCCCTAAGGGTAATAAAGCCCACTATTAAAAAAGGAAGAAGAACCAAAACCTTCCTAATTTTGAGTAAGTTTTGGTTTCAGAGTTTGGAAACCACACATTCCAAAACTAGAATTAAAAGATACCCCTACTTGCCTTTAGTTCTAGTAAGAGGAGTCTAATTTTCTAGGAACCAACTATTAGGGGAGCATTTTTGTCTATAGAAAAGCACAGAACAAACAATCCTTCTATAATATAGATGCAAAGGAAGATCCATCAATTAAGCACATCTATGAATACGTAAGAGAAGAGATGAAAGATACTGTTGAAATGCTAGTTCTGCTTACAGTTTTTAGTTCTCAAACATGAAATTATTTCAGTTCTCAAACATGAAATGATTTACCATTTTCCCATAGCTATGGATGACAGGGTTTAACAAAAACATCCCAGGAACAATTGTTTAACCCCAGAATTGCTCCCCTGATGTTAGACCTAGAGAAAGCATTTATGCCCACCCAGCCAGATAGCTGAATGAGGGACACATCCCTCTACTTCCTTCTTGGGAAGGGATTCCCTCACAAAGTAGACCTGTTAGTTTCCTAGTGAAAGCTCAGTCTGGGGTTGCATGGTTCCCAGTTGAGTGGGGAATTCTTACTTCGAGTTTGCCTGGTGCAACAAAGAACTGTTGATATTGTAAGATGGACAGTTTTGGGAGGGTTTCCTTTACTGGTTTTTGTGATAGGTGCTTAGATGGTGATAAGTGGAGATAAAGAAAGGAAAGCTAGGATTTCTAGGTATCTAAGGAGAACATCAAAACCCAACAGGTAAAAAGAATGATATTAACTAGTGTCTCAGTTCATTCAGGTTACTATAGTAAAATACCATACAAGGCTGGGTGCGGTGGCTCACGCCTGTAATCCCAGCACTTTGGGAGGCTGAGGCGGGTGGATCATGAGGTAAGGAGATCGAGACCATCCTGGCCAAATGGCAAAACCCTGTCTCTACTAAAATACAAACAAATTAGCTGGGTGTGGTGGTGCACACCTGTAGTCCCAGCTACTCGGGAGGTGGAGGCAGGGGAATCACTTGAATCCAGGAGGTGAAGATCACAGTGAGCGGAGATTGCACCACTGCACTCCAGCCTGGGTGACAGAGCGAGACTCCATCTAAAAACAAAACAAAGAAAACAGAAACAAAACCATACAATGGGTAGCTTCAACAACAAACACTTGTTTCTCATAGTTCTGGAGGCTGGAAATCCAAAATTGTGGCGCCAACAGAACCCTCTTTTTGGTTATGTCCTTACCTGGCCTTTGTTGGTGCATGCATGCTGAAATAGAGATCTCATGTCTTCTCCTTTTAAAAAATAAGGGCATTAATCTTACCATGAGGGACCTAGTCTCATGACCTACTCCAACCATAATTACTTCCAAAAGGACCTATTTCCAAATACCATCACATTGGGAGTTAGGGTTTCAATATATTAACTTTAGGAGGAACACAAACATTCAGTATTGTAACCAGTTATTAAAAATATGTCAGTTTCTTATTTGATGGATCCTGGCATTCAACAGGGCAGGACTATAACTGCATTAACCCAAAATCTGATGATTTTGGTACGACAATTCATATATTACTTCTAAGAGCCAATCGTAGTAATGAATTCAGTAGTAATGGATTATTAGGTTATTGCTTTGTGTTTTTATTGCTTTTGTTTTTTAAACCATTTTGTTACAAGGATAGGAATACATTGATCAGGAATAAAAATAAAAACAATGGATCAGCCTTTCTTCTTCTGAGGGCTACTTAGAGAGAAAGTCTGTGGCCCTGGGCCAGAGAAACCAATCGATCAGAATGAGATCAAATTTATGACCTTGATCTCATCAGTCTAATCAAGAGAGCTAACTGTACCCAGGATGGCAAGGCTTGCCTTTACGTTGCAAAAATAAACCCAGTTTAGATAGTGGCTGGTAAATGTGAATTTTCTATTACTTTATTCTACAAACAATTACTGAGACACTTCTCTCTGCTAAGTGTTGCATTAGAAAGGTGATTACTTAAAATGAGATTTGAGTCTATTAGTAGGCTATAAAATCAATAAAGTGGGTTGTATCTAACATATTAAAATGGAACAGAAAATAGCAAGTGAATTGCATCTGGAAAGGGTAATATTATTTAGAAAACTTTTTTTCTAATTATGTATCTATCTGTGTGTATTGGTTATGAAGTAAACTTTATTTTTTATTGTGGATCACAATTTTAAGTATTTGGAAAATACTGTGCTAGTCTTAAGGGATTCAGTGGTTAACAGACCAGATATAAGGTACACACATTAAGCAAATACCCCAATGATTAACTAATTATAGTTGTAATATGTGTTATGAAGGAGAAGTACAGAATACTAAACAGAACACAAAACATAGGGACCTATCCTCATGTAGGGCTGGGTGGGTTGGGAGGTACTTGAGGAAAGCCTTCCAGAACACAGGACATTTAAGCTGAGACCTAAAGGATGTGTGGATGGGAAGTGGGCATTCTAGTGAGTGGAAATAGCTCACATGGATGCCCTGAGTTCGCATGAGTTTGGCACATTCAAACAGCTGATAGAAGGTCGGTTGTGAAGGGCAAGAGGGAAAATGATCGGGACAGTGACTGGAGTAGGTAGCTAAGTCAGACTATTCATAAAGGGCCATCATGAGATTCCCAGCATTATCCTGGGCCAATGGGAAGTCCACTGAAGCATCTGAAGAAGGGGAGCCACATGGATGGACTATTTGTATAGATTCTGGGTGTAGAGTGGAGAATAAATTGCCATATGATAACATTGCCTGCCTCTCTCCTTTTTTTTTTTTTTTTCTTGGTTATCTTAGAATAATTTTACTCATGTACATATTCAAGTAAATTGGTGATTTGAACTTGAAGGAGGGAAAGCATCTAAAAGAGACCAGTAAGAGGGGAGGTGGTAGGTGATGGTAGTTAAGATTAGGGTGGTGGCTCTGGGAAGAAAGGAAAGTAGACATGGTCCATGAAAGGTGTAGGAGGTAAATCATCAAGAGGATGTGGGAACTGAGCGGGGCATGACATCTAAAGGACAAGTCTCAAATTACTGAATGTGGCCATTGACTGGATGGTGATACTATTTGAGGAAATGAAAATGCTCAAAAAGGAAGAGACTTACAAAAATAGGCTATACCAGGTCCTTAGTAAGTACTCATTCGGTGGTTGCAATGATCAATCATTCATACATGAAATGTTTGGCTTATGGATTTCAACAAATCTTGCTTTCACTATCAGACTACATTTAGGTAAAAATAATCTTTGCTGGCGAAGGTCAAACGTAAAGCTTTTAAAAAAACTATAATATAACTAAAAGTCAAAGATTACCAAGAATAAGAAGTTTCCTTCCCTGCCACCATCCACCCTGCCCTGGCTCAATAAAAATATCTCTTCTGGGTGGATCACGAGGTCAGGAGTTTGAAACCAGCCTGGCCAAGATAGTGAATGCTGTCTCTACTAAAAATACAAAAATTAGCCAGGCATGGTGGCTGGTGCCTGTAATCTCAGCTACTTGAGAGGCTGAGGCAGGAGAATCGCTTGAATCTGAGAGGTGGAGGTTGCAGTGAGCCGATATCACACCACTGTACCCTAGCCTGGACAACAGAACAAGACTCCATCTCAAAAAAAACAAAACAAAACAAAACAAAACAAAACAAAAAAATCTTCATTGATTTAAATCTCCTCGGAATTCAACATTCCATTTTTGAGTGTTTAGTGGGTGGCTGGGGGTATTGAATTCACTGGAAGGGAGCATTTCAAAGAATTGAGGGGACACTGAGTGTGTGTCTAATGAGTGCAAAAGCCTCATTCCCTTTCCTTGCCTATTGACTAGAAAGTACTCTGATCTCGGAGTCAGGACCTTAGCACTTCAATCCAAAGACACTATGACTTATGAACTACTTAATCTTGAGCAAGTTTCTGCCCCTTTTCTGAGTCTGAGTCCTTGCCTTTCATGGGGAAAATAACTACATCCCTTATCTACCTCACTGATTGTTGAGAGGGCCAAGGGAATTGATATATGTAAAAATGACTTGAAAATAATAGAGTACCATGTATTTACAGAGTGGGATGATTACGGTAGATTAGATCTGTAGCCTTTGAGGTGATGTCAGTGCAACTTCTTGTTTTGATCTGTGAAATAAGAACTTCTAGGATTTGTGCCTGTTCCTTTGGAGATTCATAACATTTCAAACCTAAATGCTCAATGCTATTCTTAATGCTTGGAAGACTTTAGAAGACAGCAGAATTTGATTCAGTGGGTTAGAATTCATCTGTTCTTTTAATGTCTTATCCCAGAGTTTTGGATTTTTGAAAATGTATTGGTTTTGTAACTAGAGCCATCTAGTGTTCAGTTAATTAAACATACACACAGGTACACACACACAGGTATACACACACACACACAC